GTGGTCTGATGGCTCTTTGAGGCGCGCGCGGAACGCTCGGCGCCGTATGCTCGGGTCTGTTTCTGGTCGGACGGGGAGCCACCCATGCTCACCGTCCGCAGGCCCGCGCTTACGGTAACTGGAGATCGTCCCGCGATCCCCGACGCCAGGTGTGTCCTTCGCGATGGCTGGGTTGCGAGGAGCCAGCGCTTCGCTGCCTCACGCGTCCCGCCTCCTCCTTAGCTAGCATAACTGCTTCGCAAAAGGAGGAGACGGCATCCCAGTCCCCCTCGCACTGCTCGATGCATACTTAGCTCTGTTGATCATTTAGTTTGTGGGACACCCACTTATCAAGCTTTTTTACCTTGCCAATTTGACGCAAATGTACCAATATTGTTTTGACGCTAACGTCGAAAGCTGCTGCTAAATCAGCCGTAGATTGTATGTCATCAACCTCCACAATAGCCCTTAAATTGTCATTGTTGCCAAAGTCTTCGAACGACCGCGAGGTTCATCTTGAAATTAAAGTACTTAGGATTCAATTTCGATGAGCGTTTTACGTAAACACTGCGGTGTGCGCGCGTCCCGTCTGTCTTCGGCGCACTCTGGAGTGATTGAAGCGCCAGCGCACGATAGTCCAGTTGGATGATAACGATTTTTAACACCAGGGCGATGAAATAAATATGGTATCATATGACATGATTGAAATGTACCATATTAAAACTTAGTGATTGAAAGACCGACTCGTATTTCTATGAATACTGGAAAAATGTTTCAATATTCATTATCAATGTTATCGTCTGTATAAAACGACATGCATTTAAAAAAAAAATGAGGGTTAAATGGTTTATGACTAAACAAAATATCTGAACGAAAACAACTATTTGGTTTAAGTAGCACCCTGCGTAGAAAATAGAGGCAGCTAGAAATGTTTAAGAGACGTACCATGACGCATTTGGATGACGGACAAATGTTTTAAGCGACATCACACCGTGTGATTAGTGGGAAGTCAAAATGTTTCAAGTTACTTGTTAATAAAAATTAGAAACAAGAAAAATGCTTTAACTCATATTGACTTAATAATTAGAGATAGGGTGACTGGTTTATGTCTCGGTTATTAATATGATGGTATGGTTCAAGTATATAATTTAATAAAAAATGCGAAATCCATGTCGTTTAATACACTGCCACTTTGGAAACAACATGAAAATAGAATTGTTTGAAACGCCAAAAAAGTGCTCCGATTTTAATGAAACCGGCATCATTCGACGGAGAAAAATTCGCTGATTCCGAATATATATCGAGGGGTAACGGGCTATTTGGTTTAAGCGACATTTTTGCAACTTTACAGGAGAGCCTTTTAAAGTTTGAAATTTCGAAAAAAAATTCGTAACAAAAACATTTCTGCAGTTATTTGAACGGGGTAAATTGCATTGAAATTTAAATTAAATTATCTAGTTGCTGATGCTAATTCTAAATAAAGCGGACCTTTAATTACAAAGATAAATGTCGCTTAATACAATCTGCCCTTTTTTAGAGTCAGGAAAAACGATTTAAGTGACTTCATAACTACAATTGGCTACAAGAGAAAAAAATTAAGCGACAATGCACTCTATTTATAGAGTCAGCTAAAAAATATGAAGTGACGAAACCCAAAATTAATAGAAGCAAGCTATTTATCTTAACTACCAATTCAGACTAAAATGAGTGACAGGCTAATTTACTTATGTGACATATAACATTGAAATTATAACGTTTAATGTTTATGTTTATTTACATCTAAGGCGATTAATGGCTGATAAAACAACCTGGATATATCGCAATCACCGAAAATCTCAGATGCTTACATTGAATAAATAAACACAACACAATATCAAAGTATTTATTTAGAGTAATAATTACAGTTTCAATAGGAATATCGATTATATTTCAGCAAAATCAATTAAATTAATGGGTCATTTACTGAAATTGCCGTTTTGTATGAAAAAATTTAAACGATTTTTTCATGTATTTTTTATTTGTATAATCAACGTAATCACCCATGCAATCAATGCATCGTTGCCAACGCAGTGGCAGTTTATTGATGCCCTTCTTCAATCAGCTGGACGGGTAGCAACAAATTCTTCAAATGCATTTTGTACTGCCTCTCGGTTATTAAATTTTTTCCCGCCAAGAAGTTATCCAAATTCTGGAAAAAGAAGTAGTCTGGTGACTGGTGAGTAGGTGGATGTCGGAGAGCTTCACAACCCCAGTTCTTGTAACGTGGAGGCCGTCTCTTGTGCAGCTTTAGGTCGCGCGTTGTAATGCAGGAGCAATGGAGATTAGCGATTGACCAGTGCTGGTTGGAGATGTGTCAGCTTCTCCATCATTGTGTTCAGTTCTTCACACTACACATCCGTAGTAATGCTCACTCCGTTTGGTAAGAATTTGTGATGAATCAGAATAGCGCGAGCGCTAGACCATCAGTGACCATCACTTTTCTAGGGGTAAGTTTTCGTTTAGGGCATTGTTTAGGTGCTGAACTAGGATTCAACCAACATGCTAAACGCGTGTGGTTATCACACAGATTTCATTTTTCATCGGAGGTGACAATGCAAATCAAAATTCTTTCATTTGTGTGTATATTGAGCAGTGCAGTGCAAGGCACTACTCGATGCATTTTTTTTAAGGGTGGAAAATCATCGAATGACTGCTCCCGCCTGGGTGAGGCGGGAAAGAGTGTCAGACTCTTACTGACTAAAAATCACCCCGTTTCTTCTCCTGCACGTCGAGCCGGAGCCCCGGTTACCCGTTAGGTTCTCCGCGACTCCGAATCGGCATCGACCCTGTTGGGCCCCATCTGTGGTGGTCTGATGGCTCTTTGAGGCGCGCGCGGAACGCGACGCGCCGTACGCTCGGGTCTGTTTCTGGTCGGACGGGAGCCACCCATGCTCACCGTCCGCAGGCCCGCGCTTACGGTAACTGGAGATCGTCCCGCGATCCCCGACGCCAGGTGTGTCCTTCGCGATGGCTGGGTTGCGAGGAGCCAGCGCTTCGCTGCCTCACGCGTCCCGCCTCCTCCTTAGCTAGCATAACTGCTTCGCAAAAGGAGGAGACGGCATCCCAGTCCCCCTCGCACTGCTCGATGCATACTTAGCTCTGTTGATCATTTAGTTTGTGGGACACCCACTTATCAAGCTTTTTTACCTTGCCAATTTGACGCAAATGTACCAATATTGTTTTGACGCTAACGTCGAAAGCTGTTGCTAAATCAGCCGTAGATTGTATGTCATCAAAGTCATTGTTGCCAAAGTCTTCGAACGACCGCGGTTCATCTTGAAATTAAAGTACTTAGGATTCAATTTCGATGAGCGTTTTACGTAAACACTGGCGGTGTGCACGCGTCCGTCTGTCTTCGGCGCACTCTGGAGTGACTGAAGCGCCAGCGCACGATAGTCCAGTTGGATGATAACGATTTTTAACACCAGGGCGATGAATAAATATGGTATCATATGACATGATTGAAATGTACCATATTAAAACTTAGTGATTGAAAGACCGACTCGTATTTCTATGAATACTGGAAAAATGTTTCAATATTCATTATCAATGTTATCGTCTGTACAAAACGACATGCATTTAAAAAAAATGAGGGTTAAATGGTTTATGACTATACAAAATATCTGAACGAAAACAACTATTTGGTTTAAGTAGCACCCTGCGTAGAAAATAGAGGCAGCTAGAAATGTTTAAGAGACGTACCATGACGCATTTGGATGACGGACAAATGTTTTAAGTGACATCACACCGTGTGATTAGTGGGAAGTCAAAATGATTCAAGTTACTTGTTAATAAAAATTAGAAACAAGAAAAACGCTTTAACTCATGTTGACTTAATCATTAGAGATAGGGTGACTGGTTTATGTCTCGGTTATTAATATGATGGTATGGTTCAAGTACATAATTTAATAAAAAATGCGAAATCCATGTCGTTTAATACACTGCCACTTTGGAAACAACATGAAAATAGAATTGTTTGAAACGCCAAAAAAGTGCTCCGATTTTAATGAAACCGGCATCATTCGACGGAGAAAAATTCGCTGACTCCGAATATATATATAACTCAATATCGCCCAAAATGTCGCTTAAACCAAATAGCCCGTTACCCCTCGATATATAACTCAATATCGCCCAAAATGTCGCTTAAACCAAATAGCCCGTTACCCCTCGATATGTTGTCACATAACACATAACATCACGCCTTTTTAACTTTTTATCATTATATTTTCACTGTACAATGTAACACCCACTTTTCACTATTTATGTTATGAGTCCCATGTAATAGGTGGTGAGCTTATTGCCATATACCGGTTATAATTCCGGCCACTGCTGATATTTTTAAAAATCCTGTAATACTTTGCCCGACCCGGGAATCGAACCTTGCCGCTGAAAGGGTAGCGGAATAGGGAGAGAGCCTATTGTCATATACCGGGCACATTTCCAGACTCCGTGCTACTACTGAGATTTTTAAAAACCCAGTAATTCTTTGCCGACCCGGGAATCGAAACCGAGACCCCTTGCCCGGTAGTCGCACTTGCGACCACTCGGCCAACGAGGCATAGGTATGTTGGATGTACACGAAATCATTTTTAGTTGCGTCATTTATTACATAGCCTCACGCCTGTCTCCTATGGCGATAGGCAGAGACTAAGGAACACCAATTGCTACGATTCTTACATACCACTTTCGCTTCCTCAACAGTCATCAGGTCATCAGTCTTTTTATGCGTGCTCGTCGATAATCAGTTATTAGGTATTACTTAATTTAAATATTTATGTCTATTTCCCTATGCACTGACTTTTGTAATCCCTATCAATACCTAACTATACACCACAAATTAGATCATTTAGTGCCTTTTACGGGATTTTACATAAAGCGACTTGAGTCAAGAATTTCAATTAGCATGTATGTTCGAGGTAAGTATATTATATGGGCACTCATCATATTTCGATCAGTCGTTTTAGAATAACACAACAGATAGAATGGAGATCACTGTAAGTATTGTTTTCATCAATATTATGATCTGAAATAGTATCTAACTAAAGTAGTTATTAAGTCGAAAATTAATTAGTAACGTGACTTTGGATTTTATGTAATACTACTTAGTTATTAGATATCCTAATGCTGTACATTAGATATCGAATAACATGTCAATGACCTTAACCAATATTAACTTGGGTACTTCAATTTAGTGCATCAATTCATTCTGAATTTAAAATATGTTGTTTTGACGTTTAAAAGTGCCTTCATGGTCTAATTGAAACAAATGATTTTGACTTTGACTTTGACTTGACTCAGTTCTGTAAATGAGTTAGATTCCTGGATATGATAAAATTTTAGGTAGGTACTAGGTTATACTGGTCCACTGTAGATACCTAGGCACAGTTTGAAATTCCTTCATTATAATTGTTAATTTCGGTCTTGTAAGTAACCTTTGCACTGACCATGACGTAAAATATATCTATGTTTCTAATCACAAGTTACAATTACGTTCTATCCTTATGCAGAATATTTGACTGTGATGGAATATATGTATTACCAACGATAAGTTGTGCAATTACGCGAAAATATTGACTTACAAATTGACCGCATGAACGCAAAGTACTTTATCACCATTTCATGTAAAATGTTCAAAATTATTTCCTTACAGAAATTGGGATTAACTGTGTTCATCGTGTTCCTAATAAGCATACAAGGGATTAATTCAACCAAAGATGATAATACAACACAGCTAGAAGAAAAATCAAAGCCCTTAGAAAAAATAATTTTAAAAGAAAATGAACCGGGTGACGTTAATCATAAAGAAGATCATAGAGACGATGTAACACGAGTGAAGCGACAGTATTATGATCCGTATTACGATCCGTATTATAGAAGACGAGGTAAGTTAATTAACTAACATAATATATTCCGCTATCTAGAAGTCATTAGGCCTATGTTCAGCAGTTGACGTCTTGTAGTTCTTATGATGACAATGAAACGCCATCTACTATGATCTTCAAGTACCTACTTCTGAATTTTTCATTCATTTCAAAATGTGTTTGGTTAAAAATTTAGCTCCCACTCCTTTTTAGTATCTCTCCATTGATAAATAAATCATGAGATTATTCTACTTGTCGACTGCCTCGTTGGGCAGTCGGTCTCGGGTTCGATTCCTGGGTTGGGCAAAGTAGCACGGACTCTGGTATTGTGCCCGGTATATCACAATACGCTCACTCCCTATTACATGGAACTCATAACATAAATTGTGAAAAGTGGATGTTACATAGTACAGTGGCATTGGCAACGGTGGCAAGTGTCGTAATGTGTACTTCTGCCTACACATTCGGGGATAAAAGGTGTGATGTTATGTTATTAGTCTGTTTTATTGTTTTATAAGGTAGGGTGGTTCTTACTGTTGCGTGTATTTAAGTTCTGTCTTCGTTCATTATCTCAACACATAGAGCAACACGGGCCACCGGCGGACTCCGTGTTGCTCTATGTCTCAACATGATCAAACCGAATTATCCTAACTTCCTTGCTTGAGCAATATTTTCACTGTTTAAGTAGCTACTTACGTGCATCATATTTAAAGTTGTCTAATCACGTGATTTCTCAACCTCCGATACGATTAAGTATGAATAAAACATTATAAAAAATACCTTCTCGTACATTCATTAAGCAAGTACCAAACATAAATGACCAACTGATATAACTAACATCTTACTCATGAGTCACATAATTTATTGTGGAGTTACTTTTTACTTAGGTACTCTTTTTTACCGTCGCTTGACCACTATCTCGCCACTCCAGGCTCTATACTCAACATGCCAAAATTGTCCAACAAATTTTGGTTTATCCACTTACCAAACTTTTCTATTACAGTGCCCGTTGCAGTTCCAGTACCAATAATCATCGGTGGTGGTGGATTTGGTGGCTTCGGTAGAGGTTTTGGTGGACGTGGATTCGGACGTGGATTCGGAGGCCGTGGCTTCGGTGGTAGAGGATTTGGGGGCAGAGGATTCGGTGGTAGAGGATTTGGCGGATTTGGAGGACGCGGAGGATTCGGTGGATTTGGGGGTAGAGGAGGCCGAGGATAAACTATTTCCACTTGTTAATAAATTTATTTTAAATAGACTGTTATTTTTTATAGACTTTTGATAAAATAAACCGTGCTAGTTTTATGACAAGAGATTTTTTATTTAAAACTATCCAAATTTTCATAGTGAATATCTTAACGTTTTGTTTAGTAATTCATTTTATATTTTTACTTAAATTTCTCATCTTTAAAATATCTTAAGGGTACCAACTATTTTATCATTCGCTAATATTTAAGTTAATAGTTTATCTAATCATACCACATAATAGGTGTAATAGGTCATCTGTGGTAAATTCATTGACAGTAGACGGCTGATAATGACAACACCGATGTCAACAAACGGAACTGTCACAGAAATGTCAAACGCACAGTACCATTCGAAGCAAGGTCGAGTAGCGAGTTTTTGTGCTTAAAACTTAATTAAATTCGGCCTGACGATACGGCCGAACAGAGAAGCCATAATTAGTGAATTCCTAGAGTGCTGATGTTCAAGTTATTAGACAGAGTTTGTACTAGTATTCTATTTTTATCACCACTATGGATGGTACTTACGACGAGATCATCTCCGATAACCCGTTCTTCGTTGAATTGAAGACAGAATACTCTAATTTGTTTCAACATTGTATAACACAATCTTGGGTAATATGTGTCCCTCGGATTGGAAGTTTAACGACTCGTGTGTTCACCGTTGAAGACTTTTGTGCTCATATACTTGTGCCTAGTGACGAGTTACCGGAGACTCATTATAGTACGCTAACGGAGAAACAAGTGACTGTGTCAAATAAAGTGATTACACTCGAAGTGACCAAAGGATTGCCTTTACAAAGCCATATTTTATTTGAAGAAACATTCTACACTGAGGACTTCATCAAGTACAAAGTGTGGTGTATTGAAACTCCTCTGGAACCTACTACTAAATTCAATGATAATGCAATATCTAAAGAGTATCTTACATCCATCAATGACTGCATTGACTTGCTCTGGACACAAGCTGCTGGCCGTCAAGTTCTTGATCAAATTGAACACAATGTACAGACATTTTTAAAGAGCCATCCCACGTTACCTGTTGCAGTAGCACCATTACGAGATACAGTAAGTGAATTATACACACAATGCCTCCAAATTGCCTTACAAAATAGAAGACTCAGAGACAAATCAAAGTCTTGTAAACAAGTGCTAGAAAACATAAAGTTAGCTGTAGAGTGCTATATGCAGCACTTACTATTTGATGCCTTATTCAAACCTATATGCACTTCCTGTGCCTATGAAGACTCACATCTTAATAAGAAGATAAGGAATATGTGTGACATCCAGCTAAGGGACCTGGACATCAAAAAAGATCTATATCATGCAGTGCCCAGAGCTAAACAGATACTCTCAAGATAGACACTTACAATACAGTCCTAGAAAAAGTTTTATGTGTGAAACAAGCCTTAAATGCCATCCACAAGAAGGATGACAGCAACAATATTGTCCTACTGACTGCTGATGACCTGTTACCAGTGTTTGTGTTCCTTGTCATCAAGTCTGGCCTTCCCAACTGGTACAGTCAATTGATGTACATGAAGGAGTTTCGGTTCAGCAGTGTAGGCAAAGGCGATGCTGATGAGAGCTCCTTCCTTATCACTACTTTAGAAGCCGTAATAGAACACATACAATCTGGAGCACTCACTGGATCACCAGACCCTGAGTCCTATTACTATGAAAGCAACCTCACTGAAGAAAATGTTAATGGCAGACAAAGAAAGAACAGTTTAACCGAATCTATCTCCACAAGTGACACCAATGGCAAAGAAGAAACTTTAGAATATATCTTTGAACTTATCAAAGCAAATCACTGTGAACAAGTAAAAGCAATTCTACAGAAAAATCAAAAGCACCTCCAGAGTATTAATTTAAATGAAAATAATGTTCTCAAAATAGCTCTGGACAACAACCTGACTGATGATGATGATGACAGTGACACAGAAATATATCACAAACTCTGTCATCCCTTGTGTAACTGCAAGAAATGTTGCTGCAAAATATCTAAGAACCTATTAAAGACTTCCCCCACTGTGACTTCTAGAGACAGTCATGGGCTTACAGCATTGCATGTAGCCTCCATTCATGGGAAAGCAAATGTAGTAGAATCTCTAATTGAAATGGGTGCCGAAGTTAATGCAACTGACCTCAATGAATGCACTCCACTTCACTATGCATCATCAAGAGGTCACCAGAATGCCTTGCTGCTCCTCCTACACTCAGGAGCTAACATAGATAAAGCTAATATTGACCAAAATACTCCATTACACATGGCTGTCAACAATGGACACTTGAATTGTGTCAAAGCACTTATTTACTTTGCAGAGCACAGTAGAAGGAAAATTAGGATAAATTGCGTAAATGAGAGTGGGAACACGCCATTACACATGGCATCTAAGTGGGGCTATGAAGGAATTGCAAGATTATTAATAGAAAATGGAGCAGAGCCATCTTTGCAGAATAAGTACAATAAAACGGCCTTTGACTATGCTCACAATTTGAAGATAATGCAAGTTTTAAAATCTTGTACTCCTAGTTTGTATGAATACATACACATTACTAGTACAGATGTTAAAGCTTTGAACTGCAAATCTGACAACCCCGTTGCTCCTATCAAACTAAAAGTAGTTAACAAAGTGAGTGATACTAACAATGTGTCAAAGGCCGTGGAAAAATTGAAATTAATTGATAGGATTTTGAAAGCTATATCCTATGGAGATGTGAAGCTGGCCTGCTTTTATATGAACATCAACTACTCTGCTTATGTTGACATGAAAGATAAGCCTGATACTCCTGAGCAGACTACTCCATGCCATCCTCTATGTGAGTGTGCAATCTGCAAGAAAAACAATGAAACAAACTCATCAGACTTTGATATTAATTTCACTGATATAAACGGTTTTACTGCCTTGCACTACGCATCTAGATATGGTTTAGTAGAATTATGCAAGATATTGATACATAACAAAGCAGATGTGAATTGTTATAACAAAAAGTATCAAACTCCTTTACATTTAGCTGCTTTGAATAATAAAATCTATGTAATTCGTTTATTATTAGATAGTGGCGCGAATATAAACGCGATTGATGTAGCAGGGAACACTCCATTGCATGATGTCTGTGCTATGGGTAATATAGGGGCTGCTAAAATGTTACTGAGTTATAACCCCGACTTGTCCTTGCAAAATGGGTCGGATAAAACTGCACTCACCTTAGCTAAAGAGAAAGTTCATTTAACAATAATTGACTTGATAGATAAGTATTCAAGTGGTTTGTAATGTAGGTATAATAATACTTAGTAATACTAAGAGAGGTATTTTTGGAATAGGCCTATTTGTAGTGGTGATGTAGAGAAATATGTATTTCATAGCTTTAATTTTGTACCAATTTGTTTATCCAATGGCATTTTGAATACATTCCAAATATGTATACTATCATGTATGTCACAATAGTTTGTGTTCATTAATTTAATTGCTTATGTTGTAAACATTATAACATGAAGTGTTCTATAGAAATCATAGTAATGATTCCTTCTTTATTTAAAGCACATGTCAAATCAACTAATTCTTATTTCTTTTTTAATGTTTGATTTAATGCAGTTTTACTTATAAGTAAACTGTTTTCATGAATCATTTTTGGCTATCAATTAGAATTACTACTTAATTCCTTTGAAATTATTTTTGTAATTAGCTGGTATTGCCAGCCATACTTTTTTTTCTTTGGCAACCGAGTCTCCAATACGATGTTGTCGAGTATACTGCCAATAGTCATACTTTAGAGTCTGTTACAATTGTGTAACAACTTGCCATATTTTACTTCTATTTTTTTAATATTTTGCTTCTTTAGGCATTAGCACAAAGCTATCGTCTCAACAATCTGTGCCATTCTCTCAACCTATCCACAGTAAGAATAACAGAATTCCTCTAAGACTGATTTTATTAACAATAGTATTTTATTTTTCTAATTACGTAATAACATTGTTATTTTATTTTTAAGTTTTGACTGACAATAAACATTTATTATAGGGAAATTTTCTAATTTTATTTCTTCATTACCACAACAATCTATAGGTACTTATAATAAATCTGTAGAGAAGTCAATTCTGTACATACAATATATTTAAAAAATAACTATCAAGGGGTGGTTAGGGATCGCTACTGATGCCAAAAATGCAATCAGTAAAATTTTTGTCTGTCTGTCTGTCTGTCTGTCTGTATGTTCGTTATGGAAACAAAAAGTACTCGATGGATTTTAACAAAATTTGGCAGAATTATTCTTCATACTCTTGGGCAGGTTATAGTATACTTTTCATTACGCTACGATCAAAAGGAGCAGAGCAGTGAAGGGAAATATTGGGAAAACGGGAGAAGTTACTCCATTTTTTAAGCTTCCGTCGCGTGTGCAGGCTTATAGGTTAAAGCTGCATAGAAATCATATATGACGGAAATATTCTTCTTAAAATTATATAAAAAATATTCCTCGACAGCATATGTCTATCTTTTATGGTTGACTCACAATAACACGTGAAACTCCCGATAGCTTAGCAATTCGGTGATTTCTGATTGTATTTGTCTACTCTAACGTTTACAATACTCATTCATAGACATTACGCTGTAACTGAAAGGCCAATGGTTGAAATTAGCTTGACTCGATATTATAAATTGTCGTGGTGGCCCGGAGGTTTAAGACGCCCACTTCTCATGCATGAGGGTGCGGGTTCGAAACCTACCAACGGCAAGTACCAATGTGACTTTTTCCGAGTTATATGTACTTTCTAAGATTATTTAGACACCACTGACAAACGGTGAAGGAAAAACATCGTGAGGAAACCTGGACTTATAATTTCTAATTATAAGTTTGAAATCGCCAACCCGCATTGAGCAAGCGTGGTGATTAATGCTCTAACCTTCTCCGTGTGAGAAGAGGCTTTGCTCAGCAGTGGGCATTTATAGGCTGTTGATGATGATGATGATATTATAAATGAAAATATGTGAGTTTATGTGTATGTTTGTTACTCAGTCATATTAAAACCACTGAAGGGACCGGAATGAAATTCGGAACAGAGGTAGATTATGGTCTGAAGTGATACATAGGCATTTTACCCCTGAGATCGCGGGCGAAGCCGCTGGCAGAAGCTAGTAATGAAATAAAACAAGACATTATCATGTTTGTATGTTTTATCTTTATTTGACATTTATTACTGTTATAAATATATTTATGAACAATTTGAGCATCATACAATTCATACATATAATACAATACGGATTAATTTTGAATAATATAATTAAAAGACGAATCAAAATATCACTTGGTAAAATTTGTTATAGTTAATAATATAAAATTCCAATCTCAATTTATATTAATTAGGTCATTATTATTCTTATAAAATAACTTACAATTGTCGCGATCAACGCTGATTTTATCTAGTACATCAATTATAAGTACTTAAAATAATATTTACATTACACAGGAACGTTTAGTAAACATTGCGTGAATGATTGATTATGCGTCATCTTTTATTTATAGTATAACAATTGATATTGTCCTCAGAAATGGAAATTAATATTTCCATTGGATTTCTGTATAAATATGACACAAATATGGTGTTAAACAAATTCTAAATAAAAATAACACAATAGATGTAATTCCTCGGCCGATTTTCCTCTTTACATTTTTCAATTAGGTTTAACCAACGAGATGGAACCAAGCAAAGAATATTTATTACATATCCATGCTAACTGATCAACGAAAAATTAAGACCAGTGCTGGTTAACTCGTTAGTATTTCTTAAGTACATTACTGAATGCAGTTAAGACTTCAATAATTTACTGTCTTTAGAGTCGTTGTCACAAAATAAGGCATTACAAGCCAAAACAAAAATTTATAGAACATGAATAAAAAAAACTATGTCAAATTATAGGTACATCGCAACCTTGGTGTAACCTCATTACCATGACTTAAACACGATATCAAGGGCAACAAGTCAACATCAGTTCATTGACCTTCCTATTTGGTACATGTGCACTGAAGGTACCTAAATATAGGTAATAGACGAAAATATAAGTTTTTAAACATAGCCTAGTAACTGTTAGTCTATAAATAAGTTACATCTGTCTTACGACGTTCACGTAACATCCAAAGACCTTGGTATTGGCATTTAATTAAACAGGTTTTGTGTCGAGTTTTTATTTCATTTCTACCAAATTATAATATGTATTATTAGTCACTTAGTGGTTCGGTTTAGTGCCCCTGTTTATTTGTGAACATTTTATAACATTGCGCAACATATACTAGTGTTTATTTAGACAATTTTAGCTATGATTAAGTACTTAGACACATTTTGAACGATTATTAGCTTAAAAAATATTCAAACATTTTAAGCCAAACAAATCTACACTTACCTACTCTAAAACAAATGACCTTTGTGCTTACGACAAAAACATGAAACACGATATGCGGTCATATTTAAAATTCTGAACATTCGTGACGAAACATAATTACCAAAGAGTATAGTTATCTAGAGGGTATAATTACACTGAGTGAATATGATGGACAATCTGATAACTGAATACGCCACTATTGTAATGTTTGTCAAAGCATCGGCATAATGAACCAATCACGATACAACTATTGTTTTTCTACAACTAACTATAACTATTTGCACATAATATTCACATCTTCACTCCACATTCGTAGCACCAGAAATAAATTGTATACAAACTAAACAGAACTTACAAATAATATGTGATGAATTTTATGATAAAAAAAGAACAAAAATTTGACTAAAATAAAATGTTTTGTTCAGCATCTAATCAATTAATAAACTGATAATGTTACAATAACATAAAAAATAAAAGAAGCAGCATGTTTTATGATCGATTTTAGTCTAAAATATCTAGGTTTTTGACAGAAATTCAGAGTAGAATCCATGTTAAAACTATATAAATCCTAAGATTTTAAATTAATATTGGTAAAATTTCAGCCAGGTAAGTCATAACATATCTTAATAACAGGTCTAGAGCAACTGAATTACCTGCTCATAATACACTCATCGTGCTTCGTTCTTATTGGCTAATAAACTTCCTCAATAAGGACTATTCAATGCTATAAAATGGTTTTCAACTCAGACTTGTAATTCCAGAGACAAACACTTTCAAATTTGAAAAGGAAAAGGACGATTCTTCGACCAAGCGAGGTGATCGTGCCTAGCGGGCTACTGCCCAACAGTTGGAATTTTTTATGTGTGTTTAATCGCGCGCATACTTCACTTACTTTGTTTATTTTTTTTTTAATGGAATAGGTGGCAAACGTGCAGACTGGTCACCTTATGGTAAGCGATCAGCGCCTTCCATAGAGAAACAGCAGAGGAACCACAGATGTGTTACCGGCCTTTTAAAAAAGAATACGCTCTTTTGTTGAAGGTCATGGTCAAGGTCTTTATGTCATTATTTGTCATTTGTCGTTGAAACTTCAATGAGCGTCGGCACACAAACAAAAAATAAATCGTCGTTTATACCAAAGAGTATAATAAGTATAGGGGATGTTTATACATTTAGGCATACCACAGCTTTCACCATGTTGACTGTCTAAAATCATTAGTGCTAAGAAATCTCCATACATAACGAAATAATCGTTTTTATAGCGTTAAATAAATAATTCGCTAAATATGTAGACCTATCCATCTACTTGGCTAAGATAATATCTATAGAAAAAATTAAAATACATAAAACTAAGATCAAAACACCTCAATGTTATTGACGTCAATTAAAATAGCTACGTGTAAATAAATTAAAATAAAATCCATGACACTAATCAATAAAATGTCTACGCGAACGTCATAAAAATAATAATATATACATAATGTGTTATATACTTAGTTTATCTAGCTAGCTAGTGAGTAAATAAGGAATGCAGTTATGCGATATTGAACGTACGCTATATAGGACAGATATTAAAATTACATTATAAAAACAATTATAAAACTAGTTACATGTTAGACGGTTTAATATGTAGGTCGCCAGTATAATTTGGTTATCGCTTACCGCTCGCATATCGCATATCGCTTTACCTAAGCTATTGGAATAGCGATAGATCTAAAAAAAAATAACTAATGATATTTTATTATTATTATTTTTATGTGTAAAAAGGATAACCAAAAGTGTTACTAAAGTGTTACTAAAGATATATTTTTAAGGCTAGAACTACCTATACCAATGCAAACAGTCATGAATATGGTAGGCGACCATTTCAAAAATCGACTTTTTTTAAGGGAGGTAAA